CTTTGTTTGCCAAACTAATTGTGAAAGAAGTAATTTAGCAAAGTAGCTAAGTGTGAACTTTGGGATCAGATTGTCAGAGGCGCCTGGAATCTCAGGACTTCTGTGTGCATCTGTAATAACAGAAGTGCCTGAGAATAATAGAAGTGCCTGCCTGTATGGGGGGCTTGAGAATGAATGAGGTAATGCACATAAAATTCTTAGGATAGTACTTGACACACTGTGAAACTACAATAAATTTCGTTATTTGTAACAACACAATTCTACTTGGTTTCCCATAAATCTTTAACATGTTCACCTCAGGACTCCCCAACTTCCATGTAAAAAGAGGAAGTTATGACTTCATAACTTCCTGGTCCTGTCATTGGCTTCTCCATTCAATCCATCAGACATGGAATTTGACCTTTGGTGTTAAACTTCAGATCTATGCTTACTCACTGAAATCAGCAATTCCCAAAGCCAATTGCATCTCAGATCCCAAAGATATTGAATCAGAATCTTCCATATTGGAGCTCAGTGCTTTATATTTAAAAACAAAACAAAACTTCCCAGGTGATTCTATGGGATCTGGCCCTTGCATCAGGGGCCATTGCAGATTATACTACTTTATCCCTGGATACCCCTATAAAATGGGAGCAATGAGTTAGTAAGTATCTATTTCATAGAATTGTTCACAATGATACCTAATACGTGTTGAACCTTTACTGTATGCTGTGTGGGCTGGGGATATAGCTCAGTTGGTAGAGTGCTTGCCTCACATGCACATGGCCTGGGTTCAAACCCCAGCACCACCAAAATAATAATAATAATAATAATAACAACAACAATAACAATAATAACTGTATGCCAGGCTTTCCATGTATTTCTCAGTAAACTCTCACAATAAGTCTCTAAAGTACATATTTGGTTATTCTCATTTTACAGATGCAGAAACTAGGGTACAAAGATGTTAAGCAATTTAATAAAGGTGATCCAGCTAGCAAGTATAGACAGTGATCATATGAACTGCAAGGGTTAATGTAATGATTATGTTAAATGTATTTAAGGCATCTGCTACATGGTAGATGCTCAATAAACATTTTATTTTCCCTTCCTTGTATTCATATGATTCTATTCATGCCCAGTGAATTTTAGATTGAGAATCATACTTTAACAATGCTCTAGAATTGACTATTTAGTATTCTGGAAAGTAAAACAAAAAAGGGGGGCTTAGGTACCTAGAAAATGGAGGTGTTTGGGATCTCCAACAGAGAGAAATACTAAAGAACAATATAATTACAAATGGAAGAACAGGCACATATGAAAAGAGAGACAGTTTGCTACTAAGGGTAGGAAAAGACAGGGTAATAAACATTAAAAGGGAAAAAACCAACATATAAGGATCACCTTCCCAGAAGAATAGAATCCTAACGATAACTTTCCTAGCCTTCCCTCCTCAATTTGACCATCAAATTCATGCTTGGACAATTTTTTTATGGAAAGAATTTCAATTTATCAAGCCAGAAGGGGCTCAAGTTGTTAGAAAATTCTTCATATTGATTCTTCTAGAGTTTCCACTTGCAGGTACCTCTTCCATTCCTTAAGGCCCCAAAGGAGAATAAGTCTAATTTGTTTTCTATTTGACAGCTCTCCAAATATATGAACACAGTTACCTTGTATCCCCTGAAGCTAAACCTTCTGCTTCCTTTAATCTTTCCTCATATGACATAGTTTCTAGTCTTTTTACATCCTGGTCCCTCTCCTGGTGCATGTAGGTAGTTTTTCTTTGCCAAGTATTAATTGCAGATAATAGTCCATGTGGGTCTTAACCAACACCAGGCAGTACAATCACACCCATCTTTCTTTATATTAGATTTCTATTGATGCAGCCTGAGACAGTGTTCTTTTATTTGGCAGCCACAATTCACTGTGGTTTCAAATTGAGTTGTTTATCACTTAAGACCCTTATCTTGCTCTTAAATGCATCTGTTAAGACACCTCTGAGCTGGGCATGTAAATGGGCCTGAAATCCCAACTACTCAGGAGGTTGAGGCAGCAGGACCATAAGTTCAAATCTGGCCTGGCCAAAGTAGCAAGACCACATGTCAAAAAAAAAAAAAAAAAAAAGCAAAATCAAAAGCAAAAATAAAACAAACAAGCCCTATATCTGTCCCTATCCTGCCTTTGAGCAGTTGATTTCCCAGGGTGTAGGACACCATATTTATCCCTGTTAGAGGCATATTGGATTTAGCTAATGTTACATAATGGCATCTTTTCCCTTTTGGCTTTGTATCTTCTGGAAATGTGATGCAAGTCTCCTGGGTCTTCATTCAGGACACTGCTTAAAAGTCCTGAGGTCCAGACCTTGGAGAGTTCTGCCATCCTGATGTGAAATAGAGGCTTCAGAATAATAATAATTAAAAAAAAATCTGGTTTGAATCATCACTCTGCCACTGACAGAGGTCAGCTAGTTAAACTCTGAGTTTCCATTTTATCATCTGTAAAATGGAATAATAATAGCTTCCTCACAAACTGGTTAGGAAGATTCAGAGAAAAATGCCAGGAAAGCACTTGGCACAGGGCCTGGCACATAGTAGATGCTGCCCAAAGGTTGGTTCTCTCTACTCTTTCTTCTGATCAACAGTCACTCATTAATCAGAATCTTAGGTTATGGTTATTTAGCTAGTTACTTACTAGTCCAATTAATTATACCAGCATCCAGCCCATAGTTTTGTTTTTGTTTTTTTAATCTTGTCCATAATGTATTTTCAAGTGCTTTGCTCAAGTCTCACTTACATAGAGTGTCTATGGTATGGGGGCAGAGACAAAGTAAACAGCAGTAAGATTACACCTACATGTAAATTTAGGAAAAATAGAAAGCTACCAGTGAAGTTGGTTGACCTTGAAAATAGTCTGCATTTAGTCTACAAGCAGGCAATAGATAAACATTGCGTGCCTGCAATGAGCTGGGATGGGCAATGGTTTTGCAACAATTTAAACTCAGTGTCGAGATTCCAGGAACTTGAGTCTAGAATTCTAGAGTCACAGAGGCTAGTCTGGGTCACAGATTTAATTCCATTTGTTCGTGTTATCCAGCCAACAATCATTCATGGAGTACTTGCTAGGTGTCGCCCCGCCTTCATCCCATTAGATGCTCAAAGGGAAGGGTCATGGATAAAAGAAGCCAATTGTTTTCAGGTAGTTTTAACATTTAGAGGGGTGGGGAGTTCTTTGTGCTAGAGGTCCTCTGCTAAGTGCTTGAGATACAAAAGTAAGACAGATTCTCCGTACTCTCGGCACTCAAGTCACATGTTGTTATGGAATTTTTTTATTTTCTGTAACTCTCCTTCTGTCTAGTTCCTTAGATTTTGTTTTTGTTTTTCCTTTTCTTTTCAGTAGAGATCGCGGTCGCTGGGATGGTGTCTGCCACACAGTAAACACACAGTAGATCAGAACCTTGCTACTGGAAAGAGCTGTAAAGGAATCCTTCTGCGCTTGAGTTTTCTCTTTTGAACAACGACAGTGACAGCTCCGCGGGACGCCTGGAGGTCAAGAATAATGAAAGGAACGAGAGAACACTTGCAGTTCTGGAGTGGAAAAGCTTCCTAGAAAAATTAAGTATTCGTTCTCTCTTTTGGACTTTGGCAAACCAGCGGTTTTTAGGACAAGTCTGACACTCTGTGTTCCTAAAATTTGGTTTCCTAGATGGAGCAGGAGCGAGGGAAGTGAGGAAAAGCTACGTTTAGGCAAGGTGTTCCGAGTAAAGAGCGCGAAGGAGAAGAGGTCAAATCCGGGAGTCGGATGCCAACCAAAGACCCAGTGAAGAGGGACGCGCCGGGCGAATGCGAGAGCGAAGAGTCCGCACCCGCAGCGGCCACGGCCAGTGGGAGACCTGAAGGAAAAGGGAGAGGGCAGGGGCGAAGAAATCCAGAGAGAGTGTGTTGATTGGTCCCCTCTTCGGGGCGTGCGCTCTTGTGCGCCAAATGATTGGTGGCGGGAAAGTAGCAGGTAAACCGGCTCCCTGCCGCCCTACCATTGGTCAGCGGTCTCTAGAGCCGCCACGCAACTGGCCAGTGGGCCGCAGAGCCGCGCACGGATTGGCCAGAAACGGCCGCCGAGACCAGCTCCCTTCGCGCATTCGGATTGGCTGGCGGGAAGAGGCAGGTATCCGGGCTCCGCGGCTCCCCCATTGGTGGGCGGGGAAGGGGGGTTGGGCAAAGCGATTGGTGGGCGGGGGGCCGGGCCTGGGCCGGCGGGGAGCGGATTGGTCGGAAAGTAGGTTAGTGGTGCGACATTTAGGGAAGGCAGAAAGTAGGTCAGGGACGGAGGTGCCTGTTTACCCGCGCCGGACTCACCGCCGCCGCCGCCGCGGGATCCGAGTGCGGGCGCGGGCGCGGGCGCTCCGGGCGAGCCACGGTGAGTGTCGGGCCGCCTGAGGCTAGCGGCGCGGCCGGGGCACCCCGTCGGAGGCCGTTAGCACCCTGGCAGGCGCGGCGCCCCCGCTGCCGCCCGGGGCGCAGCCCGGCCGCCGGGGAACCCTGCCCGACGTGCCCGCTGCCGGCCTTAAAGGGCCCGTACTCGCTCCCTGCCCCCACCCAAGCCGCGAGGAGGCTGCGCCCCTTAAAGGCGCCGCGCCCGCCCGCCCCCATCCTCCTAGCAGGGGCCGGCACTGCCGGCCCGGGCGGGCAGAGGTGCCGCAGGCGCCCTAAAAGGCACAAGGAAAGTGTCCACGGGAGTACCCACCTTCCCTTCGCGGACATCGCTACCTGGCGGGAGGAGGGAGCAGCCAGCTGCCTCTTAAAGAGATAGCTCTGCCCTTTGGGAGTAATGATCCGGCTGAGGGCGAGTCCTAGGATATATAGTCGGGAGCAGCAGGGACCCCCGAGGGAACCATTTTTGGCGGCTGTCTCCCGAGAGCGTTGGGGGAACGATGCCTTGCCTGCCCTTCCTCCCCTTCTTCACTTCCCTTTCGGGAGCCCGCGAGGCTGGGTGGGGGTGGGGAGGGCGTCTCCGTCGGAATGGGGAGTCCGAGTCTGCCCGCCCCTTCGGCCCTGTAACTGGGGCTAGTGCTGCACCCGGGAATCCCCGACCCGGCGTGGAGCCGACCCCAACCTGCGAACTTTCGCCTGGCGAGCTCCGACCAGGTCCTGGGCGTCCCGGGAAGATCCCCCCGTGGGTCGACAAGGGCTACCCGACGGCGTGGGGATGTCGCCCGGCGCTCAGGTGTGGCCCCGCTTCCGGCTCTGGAGCTCTGGAGCCCCGCGGAGGACGCCGCGAGACTGGCTTCTGCTGGGGGTTTGACAGATGTCGGGGAAGAAAAAAGATTTCCGCTAGCGATTGCTCGGCGTTGACTGTCAAGAGAGCTCAGGTTTGCCCGGAGGAAGAAGTGAAAGGTAGAAATTAATACCGACCTTGTGGGGCACGAGTCAGCCACCCCGAGGGGTCGCGAGAGCAGGGAGAGCACAGGTGCTAGATGATGGGCGCAGGAAATGGAAGGGCATCTGTTGTCAAATTTGTGCTGGCCAGTGGGAGATCCGCTGAACCTCCCGCCACCCCAAGCCTTATTCCTATTCTCCTCCCAGCCTTGGTCCTTTTGCGATCACCTATCCTTGTTTGGGCACTTTAGTGCTTGCAGTCTCGGGTCTCTCCTGTCCTTACATCGCTGCTCAGCAAGAAATTATTAGCCAAGTTTTCTCACTCAGCTTCCAGAAATCAGATTCAGTATTAATGGAGAACTTTTTTTTTTTTTTTGACAGTATTTCCAGGATCTTCGTTTTTTTGTCGTTGTTGTTTAATCCATAAAAGCTATCTATTAGATGCATATCATTTCCACAACATTTGCTTGTCATTTGTCCTTTTGACATGTGCTTTTCCCCTTTTAATCTATTTTTATATAACAACTATTATTTTAATTCTTCAGGTCTCATTGATATCAACATCTGTCAATTTGGGTTGGTGGAGTTTTTAATTAATGTACCCGTTGAATCATGAGCTTAAAATAATCATTGCTGCTCCTGAGCAGTTTTGAATAATCTTATGCTTTCCGTGCTTGCAAGACTTAAAAAAAAAAAAAATCAGTGCTTTTAAATTTGATTTCCATATAATGAAATTCCAAAATATTTTTAAAATACAAAATATAATCATCACGTTAAGCATTATTGCTGAGATCACTTTATTGATCATTTTAAAAACAGTTTGTTGAGCATATTTAGAAGACTTGGAAATTTCCTAGGCAGGATTTGAAAATGGATTTGTAGAGGTATTTTGATTCTGATTGTAGACCTAGACAGAGAATAGTAAGAATATTAAAATGGTACTTAAATTTGTATCTTATTCCAAACCCTACAATTTAAAGGGAGAGAAAAGAGCACATGTGGTGGAAAAGCACTAACCTGGAAGTTAGGAGCTTCTAGCCCAGATTGGGGCTCTTTGGGCTGTGCCTCTTGGGACAAGTTACTAAATCTTTCTGGGTTCTTTTTTGCCTCCGATGGAAAGTAAGACAATTGAACTAGGTTATGTCAAAGGTTCCTTCTGCTCTAAAGTCCTGTGAGTCTTTAAATATTTAATACATTTGAATTCAGGTTGATATTTACCTCCTGGAACCTCCATAACATATGAGCTGAAGTCCTATTTTCATAAGAAAGCTAAGCAAATCAACAGAGGGTGTTTTAAAGGATCCATTTCAAATGATTTATAAAATGAGGACTACTGAAGAGCTTGCTATTTGCAGGAGAGATTTGCAATGCCACAGGTCAGGAAAAGGTAGTGAACAATGTCAGATTTATCCATTTATACCAACAATCTTAATAGAATATATATTCTAAAAGATAGACAAGCACTACAGAAAGACTTGGCTACATTAACAAAACTACATAAATATGTAAAAAAATTAAACTAAATATTTAATCTCTCTCTTTAGTGTAGAGGTTGCCTTCATCTATGAGCTTTATCTACTTGTAATTCCATCAACTCTCACTGTGTAGAAGAATATCAACATTAAAGAAAGTTTCTGCCCCTTACAATGTTATAATGACAGACAATAATTTTAGTTAGTACCATGCCAGCTACAGTAGGCACTTGCAGGGAAATAAAGTCCTTTGTAGACCTTGAGGTTTAGTTAGGAGCTCAGGGATATAAGCATGTCATCCTTTTCCACAGTCTTATCTTTCTTCCTTGTTACTTTTTCATAAGATTCTGACTTACCCCAAATATCCACCCAGTCTTTTCTTCTCTAACTCACAAAACAAGACCTATTCCGACTTAAGCTTCTCAGTTTCTTTTTCTTTGTATTCAAAATATCCTTTCCCTGTTGTCCCCTTCTTTCCGCCCAGTGCAGAGAAAGCAAGTGGGTCCCTCCTCTGTTTCCTCTGATTGAGCCCTCACAATGGACAGGAGCCTAAGACCTGGGACTTGGGTTCAAGCTGTGTGGCCTTGGACAAGTGCTTCATTTCTCTGACCTTAGCCTCCTCCTCTGTGGTGTAATGACAGTGCCTGCCTCTTGGAGTCTATATAAGGATCAAGGGAAATGTGCCTGTAAAATGTCTAGCAAACAGGAAGCTTTTCTTTGATGCCAGCTACCAATCTCTCCCATCTCTGCCAGGGTCATGTCACTAGAATCATTTGGGCTATTTGTCCTCAGCCTCCCCACCAAGAGAAACCTTTGTCTTGACATAGAACATGAAGTACAGAAGAGGAAGATGCATACCTGCTATGAGGTTGTTGTACACCAAGCAATTTACATATATCTATACTTGGTCACCTGAGTCTGTCTCCCTTTCCACCAGTCTCTTCACAGAACAGTGGGCATTACCTCCTCCACTGTCATCTCCTGCCCTATGGCTTCTCTCCCTACCGCCCTTCTTTATTTCTTCCCAAAGTTTCTTCCAAGCCAGGTGCAGTGGTGTACACCTGTAATCCCAGCTACTCACAAGGCTCAGGCAGGAGGATTGCAAGGGCTAGGATGTAGCTCTGTAGTAGAGTACCCCTGAGTTCAATCCCTGCTACTGAAAAAAAAAAAAAAATTCCTCCAAAAACTTTAAACCTCCAATTCCAGGGGCCTTATCTCACTCTTAAATAATTGTTCTTGGCCCCTTTGCAGCTTTTATTTCACCTGTCTTTTCCCCTTCTGAAGACCCCTCCTCATTTCCACCTTGGGTCGTGCTGCTTTCTTGAATCTCTTCCTGCACACACTGAGGGTTGGTATCTGTCCTAGCCTCTCCTATTCATACTGCCCTTCTCTTCCTAGGGCTCTTCTCTAGTTCTGCCCTGTCCCTCTGGCTTTGGGTGCTAGACATTATTGGCTAATAGCTAGTCTTTATGGCCTTGAAGTTGCAGGTTTGTAGACTATTTGCAAGCAGTTTCCTCCAGAATCCTCATAACACTATATCCCTCCACCCGCAAAGTTGTCTTTTGAGGAAGTTTGGATGGGTTATTTTGAACACAGGCGCCAGATTTCATACCCCAACTCTTCCTTACTTGTTTTATGATCTGTGTCATGTTGCTTTTATTCGGTGTGTCTTGGTGTCCTATAAAACTGGGATCAGCCTCCACCTCCAAGAATTGTGGTATAGATTGAATGAATTCAAATACTGGAAAAGCATGTCAAGTTATTCACGACACACAGCAAATGCTCAGTGGGTGTTGGCTTTCAGTATTGCTGCTTATCATTGCTTTGCCCAGCCTCCTTGACCAAGTGTGTAGGGTTTTCCATATCCAGCTCACCTGTCTGCCAGACTTTGCTGTGTGTCTAGAACTGTCCAGACAAGCTGGAGGTCTATTCATCCCCTGCACCAGCCCTTGGCCCAGGTCTTCCTCACCTCCCCCAGTCTTCCCATGTCCAAATCTTCTTCTGCTTTCAAGTCTAAGCTCAGGAGCTTGATCCTGCAAGAACTGTTTCTTCATTTTGTTTTTCTCCTCACACCTGGCAGCAGTGTCCCCAGCCTTTGACCCATCTCTGATTTCCTTAGATTCTGCTATATATCATGTTAGATTGTCTCTAGGAATCTCTCTCCTGCTCCCCTATGTTGACCACTTTGGAAGGAGTTATGGTTTTCCCAAAATGATAGGCAAAGGGAGCCTTCAGGACATGCATGACCAGTGCATATCCCAGTTAAAGATCTTGAGGAAGAGACAGAATAGGATGAGCATTTAGGGATGAGCAGGGGGAGGAGGGATGCACACCATAGAGAGCAGGGATATGAGATGACAGATGCAGCAGGGGCATGAGTGGATATGGCTGCAAGTGATTAGTTCTCATGGAAGGAGAGTTTGAGGTGGAGACTTAGCTTCAAGGGCAGATGAGATTGGATAAGCTTTAGTCATCTTTGCTTCTGAGGAACGTTGAGTGCTGGCATATAATGGAAAATGATTTTTACTTGAGTACATGTTGTCCTTTTAAATAGTATAAACTCATGTTTGTCCAGCTTGGGTAAAGAAGGGGATGGATGGTCTGCCTAATTTTATATTCTAGTTAATACTGTATCCACCAGCTTTTGCACATATTGAGGTAAAACATTTACATGTATTTATTCCTTCAGCTACTGTTTGAAATGTGCAATGTGGCAAATTAGGGAGCTTCTTTGAGTCTGATTTACCCCACTTGCAAAATGAGAATAATATTAATTATGGTAATAGAAATTAACATTTATTGAGCACTTTCTATGTGCTAGCAAATGTGTTGGTTACCTTAGATGTCTTTGGAACTACCCAGTGAAATTGGCAACATTATTATCCTTATTTTACAAGTGAGGAAATTTTATGAATTGCTCAAGGTCACTCTGTTGATAGGGTTGGAGCAAGATTTGTGTCTGGTGGACTCCACAGTCTATTCCAGACCACTGTAGCAGATGTCTTCTAGGAGGGGCACTGTGTTAGATCCTGTGTGGCACGTACCCAGCACTGTGCAAGAGCCCGCTAGGCCTTTGGTGATTGCAAATCATTGTTATTGTTGATAAGTGTGTGTTTACCTCCTTATAGCAGGGATGAAGGCCTCTACCATGGGATATGAGGGACACTCATTCAGCTGTTACCCTAATAGCAGTTATAAGGGCTTTTGGGTATCTTCTCACATCCTGTTGTGCATGTTGGCCTCTTGCTTTTCTGAGACATTTCTCTGATTCAGGCCCTATATGGCTCAGCCACCTCCTTCCCAGGCTGCTTTGTATGAGATGAACCTCCAGACCTAACACATTGCCTCTGAGGAGCCATCCACAGAGCTCTTCATGCGAAGGAATCCTTTTCAGAAGTCTCTCACCTTCATCCTCCTCTCCCTAGCTCCTTACCCCTAAGACCAGCACACTCACCCTTGGGTATCTGCCGTTTTAGTGTATACATATTATTGTATCTTTTAAATGCCAGTTGTTCCCCAAATACATTCAGATAGTAAGGGAAACAT